CTCAAATAGGCATAGAGGCTTTTGCAGAGTGCTACACCTGTTTGCATTTATCATCAATCACTTTGTACTTCTCTTGTATGTACATATAAAACGGTGGCATATTACTGTGGTTATCAAAGATTTTGGTCTGTTGCAGTAGTTTTATTCAGCTCCACGCCTGAACTGGTTTGTTAACAATCATTTCTACATAATGAAGTCTATGGCTATACGAACACACATATCTTGATGATGAACTCTACACCTCTGTAGCTCTATGATCACAGATTTCCAGATAATGAACTCTATGGCTCTGCAGCTCTACAATCAATATATCTTGATAATGAACTCTACGGCTCTATGCCTTTACACTTCTATGCCTCTACGATCACACATTTCTAAATAATGAACTCCACAGCTCTACGGCTCTATGATCACACATTTCTGATTTGCACTTCAAAAACGAAGCGCAAATCAACAAAAACAATTATGCAACAATGCTTTTCATGTCAAAACAAGTCAGTCTGCCATAAATTAGCTCGATCCTGCAAAAAAATAAAAATCGGCCCAAAATGCTATATATGCCCTCTTTGCCCAAAAGCCTTCAAATAATGAACTCTACAGCTCTACAGCTCTATGGCTCTCTGGCTCTACGATCACACATTTATAAATAATGAACTCTATGGCTCTATGCTCTATGGCTCTACAGCTCTGTGGCTCTACGATCAAATATTTCTAGATAATGAACTCTACGGCTCTACATAGCTCTCCCACCAAACATTTCTAGATAATTAGCTTTATGGTTCTACGATCAGACATTGCTACATAATCAATCCCACGACTCTACTACTCTACGATCACAAATTTCTTCATAACAAACATTTACATTTCTACGTACTAACATACTGAAGGAAAGTTAGTAAAGTATGCATTCGTACTAATGTACTAACATACTGAAGGAAATATTTTGACTCTGTGAGCCCGAGCCCTAATGAACCCAAGCTGCAAGCCTCTCTTTGCAAGCCCCAAAAGATTCCCACCAAAAAAATAAAACTAGCATAATGCCCTAATATGGTATCTATTACAGCGGTCTACGTTTAGCATGGCAAGTGAGGATGATGGAGAGTTTTCCCTATTTTTTTATTTCTACCACATAAGCTTTAATAGTGTGTTTCAATGAAGTAAGCTTAAATTGCACAGACATTTTTAGGATTCAGATCTTTCACATTTTGCTTTTGAATTACCAGATTTTGGTACCTGCAAGCAAGGTAAACTTTTGCTAATCTTTAATTAGTTTGCAAAGAGTTGTGATTTTTTCAGTGCAGTAAACTGTAGTGACTTTCACAGGGTGAAGTTTCAGGTTACAGCCAGTTGAAGCTACATAAGGGTTTTATATTCCAGTGGGATTACCGGGATTCAAGCAAACGTTGAACTAAACGGATCCATGTGATCATATAGTGCCATCATATGACATGCATTAGTAAACATTCTCTTAGTGTTGCTTTAATCTTACATACATGTAAGCTAAGCTGACATTTTTTGTCTTTGTCCTTGTCCTTGTCCTGAAAACAATGCTTAGAAATAAAAAAGGTCCGTTCACATGTTGCTGGGTTTGTCACTCACTCATTCAAACAGTTGCAAGTGTTTCACCGCCACGAGCTAAGCATGCACTGTATGTGTGTAAATAGGCTTATATATAAACCAGCTCAAAGAAAGTGGTCATTCATGTAGTTGTTTGATTTTACCTGGGAACTACCTATTTAAGAAAATTAAGGGAGAAAACAACGGACAACCANATTATTTTGGCCAAACCATTTACTTCTCCTCTGAGCAAACCCTAACTTGCCTCCTGGAGTCTTTGCAAAGGAAGACACCTACTGTAATCATCGTTGGCGACAGGTGCAATACATGTCAGACATATTTTGGAAATGCTTGCTCAAGGAATATTTACCACCTCTTCAACTGAGGCAGAAATGGTGTAATCCTTGCCGTTGTTTTGCAGTTAATGATTTGGTCCTGGTTATGGATGAAAGTGTTCATCGAGTCAAATGGCCTTTGGCCCGAGTTGTTCAAGTTCATTGCCGTAGGGATGGATACGTCAGATCTGCGGAAGTTCATACAAACACTTCAACACTTGTTAGACCGATTTCAAAACTGTGCTTCCTTGAGCATGATGAACAGCAAGTCAGTGACGAACTGGAATTACTATTCGAGAGAATTTGTTTGAGAGAACTATGAAAACAATCAAATCTAGATCTTATTGCAAGACCAATCTTTATTGCAGTTATTGCTTGTTTACAATTCAGTTTATTAAGGTTACTTCCCACCTTCACGGGTGCCTTTCGGGAAAAAATCGTACGTGTGCCAGTTTCAATAAAACCCCAACAAATTATAAATCATAAGGAAGCTTAATAAATGTACTTTACGAAAAAATACAATTTCAGCAATGTTTTCTTTCAGGAAGTGTCAGGAGGCGGTAAGGCATGAAACGACCAAGGCTTCTTCTATCAAATTTTTTGGGTATCGGATTCTGCAGTATGAGCAAAATGGCTGCACAGTCTTATTCACAAGGCATCAATCAACAAAAGTGTGTTGGGCTTTTTCGATATTCTGATTGGTTGTCTAGATATCCACATCTAAAGTTGGAATAGCTAAAAATATGCGAGACGTGTTGTGTAAATGGACGCCACAGGAAAAATGTGTTAAATATCAAAATTTCCCAACACACTTTGGTTTCTCATTATCTCTGGAATGTTCTGGTGAAATTTCGCGAAATCCATCAAATCTGCATACCCTATAAATTCACTCAAAGTGGATGTTTTCCTCCAAAAATCAAATGTGAGATTTCAGCTTGTAAAGGTTCGTAAACAACTCGTGCCACGCCTGGAGATGATCACGGCTAATAAAACCGCAAACCAATGGAACAACAGGACCTCCTAGTGTATATGACAATAGATCAAGATTTCCCGGGAAAAGCATCGCATTGCAACATGTTTTTTTAATCTTGCTCAGTGGAGTTCAATTCAGGACGGTGATGTAATATAACGGGCGAAGACTCCAAAGGCAAAGGCAAAACCCGCGCCAAAAAGGCTAAAGGCAGAAAATGTGCTGCTGAAAAACACGATGCTAAGGAATCGACAGACAGCTTAAGAAATACCCTTATTGCTGAAATGAGGTCCCTTGGGTAGGTTTCATTTTCTTTATCACTTCCACCAGATTCTGACGAAGAATCTTGTTCGCAGCCTGCACTGACGTTGGCTTGATCTTCAGCAGATGCTGAGATTGTTGAAGGCGTTTGGCCAAACGAAGAGCCTTTGTCACTTTCGGCAAGGTTTTTTTTCTTTCCCTGACAATATGGAGCTTTTTGTTTATTCTTTGGGCCGCTTTTTTTCGTTTTCTTTACCCAAGGACTTTTCTCTGCTTTTGATTTTTCCAAGGGCGTGATGAAAATGAAAATGTGCCGCGAGAATTTCCCAGGGTTCTTGCTCATTGAAAAGATTATGACACCTTCCTAGTTTATTAACTTTATTTGAAAATATGTTTTTTCTAAATAACTCAGCCACTTTTTGAGATTTTTAATGCTTTTCTTTTGGAAACACTTGACAAAATGGTGAACTTAAATTTTGTCAAATAAAAGAAAAAACGGTTTTTTTGGCCTCTGAAGGTGGGAAGTAACCTTAAGGACAAGCTCGTATCTACAGTTAATTAATGAACAATTAGATTAATTGCTTCACTGGGGCTGGTGTGCAGTCACTGTGCCTCAATTTTGTTTTGCCTTTGCGTTTTTTGTCCATTGTTTTCCGTTTTTCAATTATTCTGTGTATATTTGTTACTCTAATTAGTTTCGTCAGTTATTTTCGGTTATGTAACGTTTCATATTTTCGTGTCCATTTCTTCAGCTGTTGTTTCTATTGTTTGGTATAACTTCTTGACTGCTGTTAGTTTTCTAGTTGCCGTTGTCATTATGTTGTAGTTGTCATAGTTGCCACACAAATCTTGTAAGTTTCATTATTTTTCCGTCACTTTTGCCTGCTTTATTTGTATCTCGTTTTTGTTTCCTGCTCTGTATATTTAGCTTCTTTATGTGCGTTTGTTTTCAGCAAATCGCTAGTAAAAGTGCGAATATCTTAGATGCGTGTATTTCAATTACAATGGTTTTTTCACTCTAGCCTTAATATGGGTATGTCTTTAAGAAGCCACTTTTTCATCATTATCGAAAAGAAAATCAACAAAAGCCCTTCACAAATTATGTTTACGATAATTTAACATTGGTCTGAACTAGGGAATCAATTATAACACAGGTCTGAAACAGGGTTATGATTTAAGGGTCAGGTCATACTAGGGTTTCAAATTTTTGGTCACATCATAAATAGGGTAGGGAATATCACAGATTTTGGTCATAAATAGGGTAAGGGTTTTGGGAAGTGGGCTGCACACCTCCACTCAATTTTTCTGGGAGTACCCCCCACGGGAGTGGAACCCAGCATTGTTTATACAGTAGTCTCAATATTACAGCCACCTGGTTATTATGGCCACTTTTTTGGTCATGGCAAAATGCCCATACATTTTCTTAAAAGAAAACCCTGTTAATGTGGCCTCCCTGTTAATAGGGCCAATGGCTACATTTCTGAAATCTCAACCTGCATATAATCAGTTATGATTAAATTTCACCCCGTTAATACCATTGGGACCTCATTTTATTGCTAGAATCCAGTTATGTTGATCTTTTGCTGGTTGATATTTTATGAATTGATTGAAGTCATATCTGTATTGCAAATGTTTATTTAACAGTTGTTTAGAAGTTTTAGTACATATATGTCAAGATGTCACTTAAAATAGACCAGTCTTAAAAACTGTCATACCTTGTTAGTAGGGCCAAAATTAATTTTCATGCCCATTAGTGATCATATTAATGGGGTTCCAGAGTTACCATACTATAACAGATCTTATGGTAATCTTCCTCTATGACATACAAATGCAAAATTAACACATTTAAAGTCACAAACCAGTGAAAGCCATCTGACCTTATCAAAGCAGAACAGCTTGAGTTTTCCACATATGTTGATTCTAAATGGGTAAAACAAAAAATATACTGTGTAAATTCCATTAAAATTATACATCAAAAGGGTTTACAGCTTTGAATGCATGCAACTTGCACTAACTGCATGTACAATGTATGCGTTTGCACTCACCAGAAATCAAATATTTCTAGATAATGAACTCTACGGCTCTACATAGCTCTCCCACCAAACATTTCTAGATAATTAGCTTTATGGTTCTACGATCAGACATTGCTACATAATCAATCCCACGACTCTACTACTCTACGATCACAAATTTCTTCATAACAAACATTTACATTTCTACGTACTAACATACTGAAGGAAAGTTAGTAAAGTATGCATTCGTACTAATGTACTAACATACTGAAGGAAATATTTTGACTCTGTGAGCCCGAGCCCTAATGAACCCAAGCTGCAAGCCTCTCTTTGCAAGCCCCAAAAGATTCCCACCAAAAAAATAAAACTAGCATAATGCCCTAATATGGTATCTATTACAGCGGTCTACGTTTAGCATGGCAAGTGAGGATGATGGAGAGTTTTCCCTATTTTTTTATTTCTACCACATAAGCTTTAATAGTGTGTTTCAATGAAGTAAGCTTAAATTGCACAGACATTTTTAGGATTCAGATCTTTCACATTTTGCTTTTGAATTACCAGATTTTGGTACCTGCAAGCAAGGTAAACTTTTGCTAATCTTTAATTAGTTTGCAAAGAGTTGTGATTTTTTCAGTGCAGTAAACTGTAGTGACTTTCACAGGGTGAAGTTTCAGGTTACAGCCAGTTGAAGCTACATAAGGGTTTTATATTCCAGTGGGATTACCGGGATTCAAGCAAACGTTGAACTAAACGGATCCATGTGATCATATAGTGCCATCATATGACATGCATTAGTAAACATTCTCTTAGTGTTGCTTTAATCTTACATACATGTAAGCTAAGCTGACATTTTTTGTCTTTGTCCTTGTCCTTGTCCTGAAAACAATGCTTAGAAATAAAAAAGGTCCGTTCACATGTTGCTGGGTTTGTCACTCACTCATTCAAACAGTTGCAAGTGTTTCACCGCCACGAGCTAAGCATGCACTGTATGTGTGTAAATAGGCTTATATATAAACCAGCTCAAAGAAAGTGGTCATTCATGTAGTTGTTTGATTTTACCTGGGAACTACCTATTTAAGAAAATTAAGGGAGAAAACAACGGACAACCAACAGTCAAAAATTAAATATGTGAATTTTTCGTGGCAGTGCTTGATTTACATGTATGTTGTTAATATATCATCTTGGTAATTACCTAAAATTTGCCTCACTTGAATGTTTCCCTGTCATTCAGATATCAGTTAATTTTACATAATCAACATTTAGATATGAAAATTAACAAGGGAAACTCAAAATTTTGTTCATATCTGAAACTATAAACCAAAAATTGAGTGACGTCTTAACATATGTATCACAATATTACACTTCTAAACAACTTTTCTTTAATAAGCATCAGAATACAGATGGATTTTTTTAAAAAAAAATGAAACCTCAATCAGTGCATGCACTATTAACAATGGAAAGATGAACATAACTGGTTCGAGTGGCCGTGTAAACAGGGTAAGATTATAAAGGATTACACAGGTTAAGATTTCAGAAGGTGGCTGCTAACCATATTAGCAGGGTGGCCACATTAATGGGGTTTTCTTATAAAAAAATGTACCGGCATTTTGCTGGGACAAAAAAAGGAGGCTGTAATAACAAGCTGACAGTATTAACAAGGTGACCGTAGGGTGGGTTTCCACTGTACTGAGTAAAATGTTTACGTAAAATCAAAAACTCAAAAGAACAGAATAAAGACACAGTGGCTCAAAAAATAGGCTTGCGGTTCGTGGCCCCAGCTTGCAGGCTCACACATTAGTTACTGTTGATCATACTTATACACTGAAAGAAAGTAAGTAAATACGCGGTCGCACTAATGTACTGATGGAAAGCTAGTAAAATATGCAATCCTTTTAACGTGCTAATGCACTGAAAGAAAGTAAAATATGTGGTTATACCAATGTACTAACACGTTGAAGGAAAGCTAGTAAAATATGCGGTTGTACTAACATACTAATGCACTGAAAGAAAGTAAGATATGCAGTCACACTGAAATACTAATGCACTGAAGAAAGTGAGACTAGTAAGATATGCGATTGTACTAACGTACTAACACACTGAAAGTAAGTCAATAAAATATGTGGTAGCACTAACATACTAACGTACTGAAGGAAAGCTGATTAAACATGCAGTCCTACTAATGTGCTAATGCACTAAAATATGCAGTCACACTAACATACTGATCTACTGAAACTANCTTGGTAATTACCTAAAATTTGCCTCACTTGAATGTTTCCCTGTCATTCAGATATCAGTTAATTTTACATAATCAACATTTAGATATGAAAATTAACAAGGGAAACTCAAAATTTTGTTCATATCTGAAACTATAAACCAAAAATTGAGTGACGTCTTAACATATGTATCACAATATTACACTTCTAAACAACTTTTCTTTAATAAGCATCAGAATACAGATGGATTTTTTTAAAAAAAAATGAAACCTCAATCAGTGCATGCACTATTAACAATGGAAAGATGAACATAACTGGTTCGAGTGGCCGTGTAAACAGGGTAAGATTATAAAGGATTACACAGGTTAAGATTTCAGAAGGTGGCTGCTAACCATATTAGCAGGGTGGCCACATTAATGGGGTTTTCTTATAAAAAAATGTACCGGCATTTTGCTGGGACAAAAAAAGGAGGCTGTAATAACAAGCTGACAGTATTAACAAGGTGACCGTAGGGTGGGTTTCCACTGTACTGAGTAAAATGTTTACGTAAAATCAAAAACTCAAAAGAACAGAATAAAGACACAGTGGCTCAAAAAATAGGCTTGCGGTTCGTGGCCCCAGCTTGCAGGCTCACACATTAGTTACTGTTGATCATACTTATACACTGAAAGAAAGTTAGTAAATACGCGGTCGCACTAACGTACTGATGGAAAGCTAGTAAAATATGCAATCCTTTTAACGTGCTAATGCACTGAAAGAAAGTAAGTAAAATATGTGGTCATACCAATGTACTAACACGCTGAAGGAAAGCTAGTAAAATATGCGGTTGTACTAACATACTAATGCACTGAAAGAAAGTAAAATATGCAGTCACACTGAAATACTAATGCACTGAAGAAAGTGAGACTAGTAAGATATGCGATTGTACTAACATACTAACACACTGAAAGTAAGTCAATAAAATATGTGGTAGCACTAACATACTAACGTACTGAAGGAAAACTGATTAAATATGCAGTCCTACTAATGTGCTAATGCACTAAAATATGCAGTCACACTAACATACTGATCTACTGAAACTAAGTAAAATAGGCTTTTGTACTAATGTCCTGAAGAAAACTCAGTAAATAAATTAAGGTATGTGGTCGTACTAAGGAACTAATGTACTGATAGAAAGTAAGTAATATAGTTATGCAGTCGTACTAACGTACTGAAAGAAAAAAAGTAAAATATGCAGTCACACTAACATAATAACATACTGAAAGAAAGTAAAATAATTATGTAGTTGCGCTAACGTGATCGATGATAAACGTGTAGAAGTATAGCGCTCTAGGAAAATTTCTATGGCAATATGGGGTTCATAAAATGTGCACCAGTTGTTTGTTTATACCTTGATGGATTTATGCAGTATATCTGTCTCTTCTTTAGCCTCTGAAGGGCATAAACAATCCCTACTGACATTGCTGCGGGAAGAGCAGGTGGAACAGCAATAGTAATAATGTCTAACGCTTTCAGCAGGATGTGACCGGCAGACATCTAAAGTAGACATGTGGAAACAAAAGGCTATTAATTAACAATCTAAGCACTTTTGCAAGAACATGCTCACTAGGGTTTTGCTTGGAATCAGCTGAAGACAGCATCCAAGCCCAGTTGGTAGTTTTAACTTAAAGGGGGTTAATGTCAACAGGCCACTGATGTGGTGACATGGTCCATGGACTAGTCATCCAAAGCAGCTGGGTAAGGATTGAGTGTCTCTTTTTGCTTCACTTCACTAGACATGAGTTACATTCACTTTGAGTGTATCTCTGGCCACTTTGAACAGTTGTTAAACATTCCTGGTGAGTACAGCATCTCTGTTGAGAAGGAACCCTGCTGGAAAGGGATCTGTCAGAAAAATGTGAGATAAGCCAATCTCCTTACTGGGTGAGTAGTCAAAGGAGTTACAGCATTCTGGGCATGTTTTTACAAATTGTGTCCGATTTCTCCAAAAATTTGAGAAAGCAGAAAAATTCCAGAGATACTCAGATAAAAAGAAAACATTCTTAAATTTTCAAAACATGTTTCCACGGACAATTGTTTATTTACAATCTGTTTTAGATTTATATGGCATTTGTTTCCAAGTTCAAAATACACTACAGCCATATTATACTGCGTTAAGTAAAGTTCTATTAGTAGAGAGATTAGGAATGGCAATTTTATGTCAAACAGGAGACATGAGCACATTCATAAAACACCTGGAGAAAAATGTCAGTAATTCAATTATTGAATTCATTATTGTGACATAAACAATCGTATACTTTAAGATATTAAAATGTTGTTATTCCATAATTTATTGTAAGTAAAACACATTCTCTATTTTCCAATTGCCCATAATTCACTCTGTTTGCTCCCCAAATTTTGCTTAAACTATTGTTGTGAAATACACTTGGGAGGTCTGCATATTCCCACGAGCATTTCACAACAATAGTTTATGCAAAATTTGGGGCGCAAACAGAGTGAATTATGGGCATTGGAAAAAAGAAAATTGACACATACATAAATTATAGAGAATAGAGTCCTAAAGTGTGACGTCACAAAAAAGTAAATTTGAGAAATTATAGGATTTGGCGCCATTTTCGAATAGAGCATCCTTAGAAAAGGGTCTTTGCCAAAAATTACCTCTTAATTGTAATTCCCAGCCGAAATATAAAGGATGAAAATTTGTTACTGCCCCATATAAATCTCTCTAATTTTGAGTCAGTTCTAAACTGAAGGAACTGAAACAAATTTTGAAGGGTTTGTATGGGATGCTATCAAACTTTGA